TATGATACTGTTTAGAAACATCGAAAATTTAAGAGATGATTTTTATTAGATTGTAATTAAAAGACATTTCTTTCATAATATAACCGATTACTGGGTTTTTAATAAAAATGCCATTAGTAGCACGGAGCCTAGAATTGTGCTCGGTATATGACAAAAGGCTCACCCCTAGTTTATAACATAAATAGGGAAAGTGGATGGTACATTGTACAGTGGTATTAAGTGCCGTAATGTGCACCTTTGCCTATCTCTTCGGGGATAAAATGCGTGATGTTCTTTAATCAAATTTACATTTAAAACTAAAATTACTTAACAGAATGACAAATTTCTTGCTGCAAATTGTATAACTAATAGCATCTTTACAAGCATATAAATGACTGACAAATAGTATTTCAAGATGTCAACTAACTTATCTACTTAAGTACTAAAGTTATTCGCGATTGTGTGTAAGATTTCTGCTTGGTGCTAGAAATACAACTTAAATTAAAATCTCTGCAGTGTAGAAGTTCGTACGCATAACTTAAATCAGTTTTCATGTTAATGCATTGCAGGGATTCAAAACCAAACTGTGTACGACAATGTGCGAGGCCTGTAAAGTAAATACCTCGCATTATTTCATTGTAAACTCATTAACTCAGTATCTACCCAAAATTCCAACATCCGAACAGATTTCACTGCATAATTAAAATAAATAATTATAGAGTACAAAAGCTATTTGAGTACAATGAGTAAAATAAGCTAAAGAACAATAAACCACTCATAAAGGCCACGGGGAACAGATCAAAAACTGTTCAAGTTAATTGAACTGTCAGGGATCCAATTAAATTGGGTACAATAATCGGCAATTCGAAACAATACAATGTCGATTTTAAAATGAGCGATACAAAAATGTATAAAGTTTTTAATCGGCTCGTTGCGAGTAACTTGAATATCGAATGGAATGAAACGAATTGAAACTTGCGTCCAATTCACTTGATCATGTGGTTCGTTATTCGATTGTTTAGGAGTGTCTTTTATGCTCTTGTTAGTTGGTTTTCATAGTGGAAGTACGCTGAATTGCTTATCATTATCTGATGACAAACTTAAACTAGGTACTATATTTTTCATTCGTCAAAAATCTTTATTCACAAATAATATACACTTTAAATAAAATAAATACTAACTATGACTCTAAAAGTCTAAAGAGTACGTAACGTAAAAGACACTAAAAGTAATGGAAAAATTAAAAAAACAAAACTAAAAATTACTATTTACAGGGAGTATTTACTATTTATTTATTTTTCATTACATTTACATGAAGACCTAAGATAGTGGTAGTATATTGGTCTAAAGATGAACTTATAGAGATGTTCTTTTTTTAATTACACATTTGCACGTCTAAACCTGCAGAATTTGTTAAGTAATTGCGTTTATTTAAAAATCAACATTATATTCTTTACATTAGACTACATTTTTGTGTCAAAAGTTTAGATACGCCTCATTTAGAACAGAATTAACGACAGTCATGATAGTGCGTGCAAATATTAATGTCCTATCATTCTTACGAAGCGTGGAGGATACAGACTATACATAAAATAAATAGTCATCCCTACTCTTAAGAAGTTTTGACACATGTTGATTACTTTACCATATGTGTTTGTTACATCGTGTGTAAAAAGGGTCAACTCATGACTGGATTACATTTGTAAGTTGTTGTTGTTTAGTTGCAGCCAAAAACATGCAGAGTTGTTACAACAATAGAAACAACATTTACCAGTCAGAATAGAAAACGACAACGAACAAATTAGTGGCATTGCTCTATTATCCCGTCGAGCATACAAGAAAATGCATTTATTTCGCCATTGGCACACGAAAACAAGGATCATTACAATAGAAATAAAACAAATACAGTCAAAATAAAAACAAAACATTAATAATAGATTTTATAAAAGAGAAAGCATCATGAAGCATTTTTTCTTATGATCCACCGGGTGCTCATAAGGACGCTCGAGTGGTGATCATTGCAAATAAAAGTTACCTATGTAGGTAGGTACCAACAAAGGAGTCAATACCACTAAGACTTTTTAAATGATCAAGTTTTTTAAAAATCTTTGTTCTATTTTCGTATTTAGATACTACTAGTGGTCGCAGTCCATCTTTGAGAAAATACCAATTCAAAAATAGAAGATTAAATTCAAGGATGATTCAGCAATATTTTTTTTTTTTTTTAAAAAAACGTTGCCCCCAATATTATACATACTTAAATCAAACCATTTCTTGTATACATTTAATCTTATCTTTTTTTTTTCATAAACAATAACATCTCACGCAATAACACAAGATTATTACTACGTGTCAAAAATTTTGCTGAGTCACGATGGCAATATTTAAAAATTAAGAACAATGCTTTATGTGAACACATCATTACGTTTAATATGGAATCACATAATGCGATTTCATATTCATTGCATGTTCTGATTACTCTGTCATTAATAGTATCCCAATTAATCGGAAATGGATTGTGTTAAAATTTAAATTGTCATTTTGCAATTTTTTGCTAGGTCATTTATCATTAATTTATGACAAGTTCACTGTGACTTTGTATTTTATATGAAGATGCTTATTTGTGTATAATGTATTATTGTATTATTCAATTGTTGGTATGTGTTAATCTTTTTTCAAATGGTTACTGTTTTATCAGTTTTAAAAATAGCCTTTTATCAATTGTGTGAATTAAATTGATAAACACGTTAGACTGCAAATGAGTTCGTATCTAAGTATATTTTTCTTTTTCTTATGTCAAGTTCTATAAATTATTTGTAAAATGACAGAGGTGGCGCGATATTTAGGTGTAACTTAAAATTTAATAAAATGCCAGTATTCAGCCGTTAGTGTTTGACTACTTCGATAACAGAAGATTCCACTACTTTAATGACAAAAAAATCAGCCGAACATGGTACCTCCTCCTTTTTTTGAAGTCGGTAAAAATGAATAAGTATGATAGAAGATATACCTACAGTTTTGTAAGGATACAACTACATTAGTGTAGTTGGCGCTTTGAAGCTTTTTGCAGTTTAGTATTTGTATCACTACAAAGTATAAAACTAAGTCGCTATCCATCGTCTGTCTGTCCGTATGCATGCTTAGATCTTTAAAACTACGCAATGGTTTTGAATGCGGTTTTTTTAATAAATAGAGTGATTCTTAAGCATTATTCTGTTTATGAATGTGAAAGGAATATGTATGATATATGCAAACTGCGTGCGAAGCCGGGGCGGGTCGCTAGTAGTTTCTATAAACATGATTGGCAAGCATTTGGTTTCAAATAACTATAACCCAATACAAAATTAACTTCAAAACAAACACGAAAAAGTAAGGATTAAGTTACTTAGTATCGTGTATAATGCTTATCGTTAACCGCTTTAATATCAGTATTATTTGATCGTTAAAATGTAAATACGTATGGAACGATTCCAGTTTTTACGATTCCAAATCGTCACGATAACTTAACGATATTACGTACTTAAAGGCCTGAAGGTAGGTCTTTTACGTCGATTTTTGGTTTACTTTTCTTATTGCCTGGACTACTCTGTGTTGACTTGAACACTAGTAAGCTTAAATGCCTATAGTTGAATAGTTTTTTATATTAATAAATTGTATTTCTCCACGGACTTGTGTATAGACTGCCTCGTTGGCTGAGTGGTCGTAAGTGCGACTGCCGGGCAAGGGGTCTCGGGTTCGATTCCCGGGTCGGGCAAAGTATTACTGGGTTTTTAAATACATATTCTCAGTAGTAGCACGGAGTCTGGAATTGTGCCCGGTATATGGTAATAGGCTCACCCCCTATTACATGGGACTCATAACATAAATAGCGAAAAGTGGGTGTTACATTGTACAGTGGTATAATGTGCACCTCTGCCTACCCCTTTGGGGATAAAAGGCGTGATGTTACGTTATGTGTATTTCTCCACGGACTTGTGTATAGACAAAGTCCTTGGACCTTGGTTGAATAGTTGTAAAGACTGGGAATTTGAACAAAAGATCTTGGTTTAAATTAGTGGATTGATTTAATTGATTTCAAAGTCGCCATTATTGGGTTTTCTATTTTAGTAAATTGTTGGTAAAAGTAAGTATAGTACGGAACCAGGTTAGCTCAAAATTGTGACAGTATTTAGCAATAGTCTTCAAGTTTATTATCATTTAGAGCTTAGAAATATTAGACTAAAACAATCATCTATATATATAAAAGAAAGTCGTGTTAGTTACACCACTTATAACTCAATAATTGCAGAATAGATTTGGCTGAAAATTGGTAGGGAGGTAGCTTAGAGCCAGGAGACCGACATAGAATACTTTTTAACCAATACTTTTTTTTAATTTTTACCGAAAATCACGAACGGGGACAGGAAAAAATGGGATTATGCGTACGAAGTCGCGGGCAGAAGCTAGTTAAGAATATAATAAAAACCATAATATTTTAAACTAGAATCACTAGTTTTATACTGTTGATCAATGTAAAAGAAACCAAGAGGAAAGTAAGTACAAACGTATTTAATTAAAAAATATCAGGTGATATTACCTATACCTAATCATAAATTAATGTCATTAACAAAGCAACGTATGAAATAGAGTAGTCTACACCTTCGTACAAAGTCCATCAATTTACACGCCAAGTTAATTAAAAACTGGTTATAATTCACACCAACTACGTATTTCCTACTTTGTTCTTCATTCACCATTCAAAAAATGAACTGAGTTTAGCTGCTGTCATATAAAAAGTCTTTAGATGAAAATTTAATCCATACATTCTTAAATAGAAGGGTTTTAAATGTGCCGATATATTTTCTTAATTAATAACACTAAAAATTGCCCAGTCATGACTATTTGTTTCTTAGATATAGAAGCATCACGATGAAATGATAGAAACAATGATGACATTCGTTACTTAACAACACACTGATAACAGTGATATAAACACTCATATAAATAATCGACATTCCATTAAATCAAGTTAATAGTATCGAACTACCCATTTAGTACAGTACTATTGTGTTGTGTAATAACATATTCCAGTACAATAAGTACTCATTAAAATAAGGCCATTAGCAATCAATACGTAAATGCAGTTATTGCATTTGCAGCAGTAAATCACTGAACGGAACGATAGCAACTGCAAACAATGCAGCTCAGTTGAAATCAACAAAGATTGTCACAACAATCGCAGTCTCACGTTACTAAACTCAGTAAATATCCGTCGAATTTTAAAACATACACGACTAGTGGCGGCCTTACACTCGTTGACCTTATAGTGGCTTGATAACGTGACGATTGAACAGTTTTGTAAACGCGGCCGGCGCAACCACACGCATCAAAATGTCAGAAGCAGCGTCTCCCACGCTATGGGAGGAACTTATGAGTCCTCTAAACCTTGTGTTAATAGCTATTATTGTGTACCTCGTGTATAAAATTATTAAATCAAACTTTGAATCTGAAGTGACCGTGGCTCCACCACCTCCAAGCCTACCAAAACTGAGGAAGGATTTGACAGTTGCCGAGATCAAGAAATATGATGGAACACAGCCGGACGGCAGAGTACTACTCGCTGTGAACGGAACAATTTTCGATGTAACCAAGGGCAAGAGATTTTACGGTCCCGGTAAGTGTCTTTTCTATTTGTTAGGGTTATACCGGCTGCCATGTTAAGGTTATGATCATGCGCAATAAAATGTACGTAGTTTAACGATTTGGCTCAAAGTAAATGGTGTGGGAAATGTTTTTTTATTTGATTCTTGTTTGCCACGTACAAATAAAAAGATTGGTTTACCTAGCGTTTGTTAATAGAATGAGATTTCTTTTGTTAGGTTACATGTAGTTCAAGAGTTTCGTGTTTGGTTGTATATATGTTCTTATATTTCCAAGGCAAACACCTCGACACTAGCTAGCATTACGTACTTGAGTAGACAAGTTACGTCACCTAATTACCATCAGATAGTAATTTGTGTTATAACCTATATTGGATTTTACACTAGGAAAATTTTTAGTTTTGTGTATCAAAACGCAAATAGTTAAACTTGTTTCTCAATAGAATAGAAACTTAAATAAGCACTTCCATCTCGCCATCTGCTTCTGTCTCTAACATCAGAGTGAGAGCGAACGACAAAATTATAATAATATCTAACATGTTCGGTCTTTTCTTGGTCTACGATCGTAGTTTAAAAAACAACACTGTTACGTTAGCTAATGTATTCTTGAATATTAACAGCTTGCTGGTAACATAGGTACTTGCATGTGATTTTAATAATTATATCGTTATAACAGACCCAGCGAAGACGGGCATAAAAACAAATGTTTTGAAATAGCATGTTTCGAGTATCTTGACCCGCCAAAGGTATTTCAAATCAGGAATCTCTCGTTACCTGAGGTTTTTTAAAAGTGGGTCATGGTCTTTGGGCGTAGACCGGTTCGTAAAAAGAGGATAGATAGCATAGGGGAATAAAATAAAGAGGGGGACCTCTTGCTATGAATGATAAAGTCATGGCCTAATAAATTAGACAATGAATCGCAAATTGGTACGATTGTGTTTTGATTCAATTTGAGTAAGTAGTTTTTTTGCAGTATATATAACAAGTACCTATTAGTGACAAAAGTTCAATGTTTCATACTTTTGTTTATTCATGAGAAGTATGTGTGTCGATATCGAATTATGTATATAGTTCAATTAAAATAATAACACTTTTAAATATGAAGAAAACTGCTTGACTGTTATTTTATTATGACGTAAAATAATTCTGTGAATTCTGTGACTATGCATTGACGAATTAGACAAGTAAGTTAAGATACAATTGATATTCGTATATTCTGTTATTATTGACTATCAGAAGTATTAATATACCTGATTGAATTAAACACTTCAACATTGGTGTACAATTAATGCTGACGCAAGGATGACCTAAGTGTAAAAATTGAATTAACGCTTGCAATGAGAATTGAAATACTTCGAAGCAGAACTAAATGTATATCTATACTACACATATTGTATACTACAGAACACTTTTGAAATAACTCGTTTTCTCACAATATTCCCGTTACCTATTCATTCAAAGATTTCCACGAACACATACAGCATTGTCATCGTGATCGTTGCACTTTTTATTATACCTAAAAGAAATTTCTAGTGATAATTGGATGATTTGTTCAAAGTTCAAGTTATTATGTACACGCAATCTTGTATGATATAATGTGTTTTTCTGTAGAAATTATATTTGATTTCTTTTCCTTTGTGGTAGCACATTTTCTGTACTTTTTTATACTTAACGTCTCACTGTCTTTTCTCTTATAAAATATGACTGACTTTGAGTCTTAGCAATCAACCGGTAGGTAGTGTTTTGCATAAAACTATTGCTATCTGTACTCACCAACATACTACTAGGTATTCTCAGCGCGGATATTGTAAAGCAAAGTTTTATAAATGTCTTACAAAAAGTAACGTTCTTCTAAGAGACACCCTAGTTCTTAAAAAAAAACATACCAACTATGGATGAATTTAGAAAAAGAACTAGACGGATTCTTATAAAAAATCTGATGGTAAAACATCAAAACTTCTGTCCAAAGAAACTTAAACAGTTTCTCGGAGTTTTATGCCATCATGAACGGTTTATGACAGCAACTTCTCTGACGCATACGTTATCGTTTACGATCCATCAATACTGAATTGGTTGGTACTGATATCAGGAGATAACACACCTATAAATAATATGTTAGAAATTGTAACTGACGTTTCTAGGTATCTTCATAAATAAACGTTATATGTAGACACGGTTTCATATCAAGCTATGAACGACCAGTATAAATTAACCGTCGAATGTGAAAAGAGATCATACGATGGGAGACCATTGTTAACTAGTTTTGTATAACTTGATCTATGTACAAGTGATGCTCTGTCGCATAACTCGATGTCTATATGTAGGCCAAGATTTTGTATTATCAACAAAATTTTTGCACAGGTCAGATCAAAAGGAATTTATGGCAAAGGCCATGCATATTAGACGATCGTCATTTACACTAGTTCAGTTGTAGACATTCAGTAGTTGACTGTACATAAAAATGCCTTCTACATCAAAGCATTTTTAAAATCATATCGTTTTAATAATGATGATAGACATCGATAATAATTTCTATCATTTTAGCCAAAATGTAAGAATATGTACGCAAAATTGTTTTATTGTTAGCATTGTTAGCTAACATTATTATGTTAGCTAACAATGCACCAAGTACCTAGGTATTATTATACCTAGGTACTTGTATTATGATTATGAAATAGTGTTTTATCTGATAACGTGAATTGTGATTTATTCAAGTCTGCGATTCTACGGATATTTCTAGAACAAAACATACATTAGTCTGTTAACAAATGGTAATCAATTTTCATTTCATTTTCAACTAGGTGATGAAAAATAGGTACTTACTTTATGCATACAATATGTTACATAACTATTATTGTTACAAGTACAATTGTTAGTTTAATTTTCTGAAAATAACTCATTATCAAATCTAAGTACAACCCTCAAACTCTCAATTCCCAAAAGGCCGGTAACGCACTTGTAACGCCTTGGTATTTCGGGTGTACATGGGCGGCGCTGATTGCTTACCATCGGGTGATCCATCTGATCGTTTACCGGCTTATGCTATATAAAAAAAGTAAAAACTATTTGCTTAGAATACTATTAAATTAATATATTAATATTTTATAAGCACTCTACACACATGTATCGATTAGATTCAGAATCCATTAATATACTTTCTTTTCTTTTAAAACGTTGGTTATCTCTTGTATTGTATTTGTGTTTAGTAATACATAATTTCACTTCATATCTAAACCTCCTGGTCTTCTTGTACATGTATTGTTCCTACAATACATCATGAATTACAAAAACAAATACATAATTATGTTTTAAATTTTTCTCATTTTTCTTTATTGTATCAAAATATACCTACTGATATAGTCTTTGTAGCCATTTCAAGTTTATACGTACAATTATCACAATGATAACCATATCTCTATATTTTTATTTTTGTGACTTAATTGCCTCATCATTATCAGGTACAGCTTCTTAAATTAGAGTCGTCGTAAAGAACGGACATTTCAAATTAAGAAATTATTTAAATAATTCGTAGAATCTCTGACATAGTTCAGGTGCTGTTGTGTGAATTAAGTTGAATACAAGAATAGTCAAATAGACAAAAGGTCTTTAGGAATTTTTCAATGTTAATATGAAGTCCTAATTACATTGACTGGCTAGCAAACATACTGAACAGTATTAGAGTAATATTATGTTGTCTCTTGATTTACAAAGGTACAGGTAAAACGTGCACTAAAAATATACAACCTTTTTGCGGTGGCATAGGTGTATGGTGACCTTAAAATTAAAATAAATCATAATAAGTATTATCATCTACCCGTCCAATCAACTGGTAATTTCATAATTGACCATAGCATATACATTCGATCAACGGGACTGTCTATTATGTATTAATAACATAAGTCTACATATTTTATAATACGTAAGTCATGATGTTTTTATATGGACATCTATGAGATTCATTCAGATTTATTATAAGGCAGAATGTTTTGACTAAGAATATACGTACCGTTACCCATACTGATTTCAAGTTCGAAGTTTATTTCAATTGAGCACTTGCGACTTCGTAGCACATATGTATGTCAGAATGTTAGTCAAAATTAGCATGCTCATTTTACGCATGTTTACGAATCGAGAGGCGTTCGATTTTTAAATATTCTTGAACATTAATTATTATGTTTTAGGACTGCTTACGTAACTGTTTGACAAACCACTCGACTAGTTTCAAGCCATGCTAGAGGCTTACATTCATGAGCAGCATTTGCAACCCGCGACGCGATGCGACGACTGTCGCGCGGCTACAATAGCAGCTAGCAAGAGCCTCTAGCATGGCTTGAAACTAGTCGAGTTCGTCGTCAAACAGTTACGTGAGTCAGCTGAAAATACAATAATTAATTAGTATGTCTCACGAAAGTTTTACTATGAACATTCTTGAGCATGCTCAATAGAACGCGGTTCAGTATTAGCATGCTATTTTAGAGAATGTATAACAGTACATTGTCTATCTAAAAACAGCCAGTATCTGCTATTGAATAAAATATTTTATTCAAAAGAGAACTCATACATAAATATTATTTAGTAATCACCTATGCCCCCAGTAACTAACATTGAGGACGCTGCATTTATCAACGTTGCTCCAAAATGATTACGCAACAATGCGCCATAGCGCTATACGTTTAAGATTCAAAATGTTTCGTTGCATTGTAATTATACGTGGTCCCTGATTTTATATACAGACAGTCGCAATTCAAGTGATTCGACCTCGGTAAAAGTTGACGTTGTTTTTGTTATAGGTAGTGTATTCATTTTGTATGATATTGTTCTGTTTAAAGGAAGTTCTGGGCACATTTTAACTGACTTTAAAAAAAGAAGGAGGTTGTCAGTTTCATCATCATAGCAGCCATAGGAAATCTACTGCAGAACATAGGCCTCCTCCAATGACTTGACTACTTGACTTATTACTGTCAGTTTCACTGCGATTATCTTGCAATAAACTGTATCGATTTCGATGGGGTTGTCTAAAACATATTTGTTAGCTTAGGAATAGGTTATAGTATTATAAATTTATGACTTACTGCCTCGTTGGCCGATTGGTCGCAAGTGCGACTGCCAGGCAAGGGGTCTTGGGCTCGATTCCCGGGTCGAACAAAGTATAACTGGCTTTAAAAAAAATCTCAGTTTAAGCACTGAGTCTAGAATTGTGCCCGGTATATGGCAATAGGCTCACCCCCTATTACATGGGACTCATAACATAAAATAGTGAAAAGTGGGTTTTAGGTACATTGTACAGTGGCCTTAAGTACCGTAATGTGCACCTCTGCCTACCCCTTCGGGGATAAAAGGTTTGATGTTATGTTGATGTTATATGTATGTATAACTTACGACAGTCTTATCAATCGACTGTAAAAAAAGGAGGTTGAACATTTTAAATCATTGAGTAAATACTGTTTTGGGATAATCGGAGTTAGTGCATTTGGTTGTGTATGGAATAATATTAATTTTGTATGCATTTAATATTGGATTATAGAGTAGATGTTTCAGGGATTAATTAAAGAAGGTTTTGTTAGCTAAATTTGTACCAAAATTCTTCACAGTTAGTTTCGAGATTTAGATTCTAGAGGTACAAGCAAAGTCACTTTACTATTTATATTTAGTCAAGATTACAATTTATTTATTTCTTCTTCTGTTCCTTAGGAACTCCTTTATCTGTTTAGCTTAGCAACTTTAACCATTTTGATTTAAATTTACCTAAAATATAAATAAAATATGAAAACGCCCCCAAAAACACAACTTTTGTTATAAAACCATGAAATTTAAAGGGTAGATTTTATCACTTAACCGAAGTTATGTAGTAAAAACTAAAATTAAAAAACACGACAGTAAGTAGGGACTACTGTTTATGGCCGAGGAAGTAATAATTTAGACACGCTTCAAGCAAACACGATTTCGGAACTAATTTTTTAAACGTAAATACTTTTTCGGAGGGGTGGAAGCTCTCGAATGAAAAAAAAAAGAAAACTGTGCAATTATTTAAATGAATGCATGGAGCGGTGAACTTAAATCCTTTTAATGGAATCTGGGCCCATAAAAATGTGTTTCTTTCTTTTAACATTCGTCGGGATGAAAATTAAGGGAGACCTTATCTAAATCTATGTTCTTTTCATCTACTAGGCCATTGTCTGTCGGTCTGTTATTACGAAATCTTTGCTTTTTCCACAATAGCTTAGATATTTCAATAGTTGTTTTTATTTTCGTTGCGAATTTTGCATTGTTAAACTTTACAGTTTTTTATTATTATTCATATTATATTCTTGCGTAAACATTCGGATTGTTGTATAAAAATAAATTATAAACATTCCATTTTTCGCGTAGGCAGTATTGGTAGGTAACAAAAGTTTTTTTTTAAAACCGTGTGATGTAAATTTTATAACATTCAAAAGTATTTGTCGTGTAATAAAAAATACCGGATAAACAAAATGATCGTAAAAGCATAGATATCCTGAATGCATAAAATCGAACCAACATATTTACAAAAATGACTCAAAATATAAAAATATTAAGCCAAAACAAAATTTTGTTTAGCAAACATCCTCTGCGACATAATAATGTAAACAGACACGAAGGAAACAGTTGATATAATTCGATTATACCAAGTTACGCAACTAGCGATAAACGTTCGTTGAAACCACAATGTTTACCTATTAGATCATATAATGAATTGTTTATCTATTAGTTTATGTAATTCGTAACGCGGAATTAAACACAAGGTTAATAAATTGGTGGAAGTTTAACACTCGTAACGTAATTTTACCGGAAAAAATGTACTTAAATTAGTTTAATCGGTGTGAATGCAGATTGATTATTCGTAATTAGTTTTAGTGAAAATCAACAATAAATTCGCTAAGAATTGACTGTAGCTACTTAGAACAAACGAAAACTGAAACGTCAAAAAATTGGGCTTGATTTTAAGAATCTATTCCTACTTACTTCAATTGTTAGTTTTCCATATCTACCTCTAGAAGAACAGTATTTTATTTTTGATAATTAGTTATATGCTAACTACTAAAAGTAAATAAATTTCGATTTTATGAATTGGACTCAAAACAAACAAAAATGAACCGAAAACGTCTACAAATTAAGTTCAATTTTAAGTATCACTCGATAGTTTTCCAACTATGTATTTAAATTCGATACATCCCTAAACGAACGTCATTTTTATCGTTCGCATCTGTGTCGAGACGGGTCACTTCAGTGCCAAGACGCCATTAGTATTCATCCTTTGTGCGCAACATATTATTTTCTGGCCACAACAGTTTCCCGTAATCTTTTTGAAACAATACACTCAGAGAATCTGTTGATGTTTTCTGAATAAATATCTTTCATACATTTATTTTGAGTTAAACTGTAAAAATGGATTGTGGTTAGAGTATACAGCTTTCTCACGTAACTGTTCAAGAATGCTCAACTAGTTTCGTACCAGAACCGTGGCTCATGATCAAAGCAGCATTCGCGAAAACGTTATGCTGCCAGCTTAAACAATTTAATATGCCTCACGATAATCCTTTTCTGTCTCTTTTTATAACTCTGATGGCTTAATGTTAATAATTCTAAAGAATACCTACAAAATATTTAGTAGGTAGTGTTTTATTCAGTGAACAAAGATTGAAGAATGAGATAAACATTGACAAAACACCTATTGTTCATAATAGAATACTTGGTTTTAAGACGTTGTCTTTAGTCATCTTTTTTTATTTTCGTAAACAATGTTTATAGTACTATGGCTTATCTATTTTCTATTTGGTGACAGTTGATTAGTTTATTTTGGTAACAATTTTTTTGAAATACATACGTCATGTTAACGTATTTCTGTCACGATGCCAATGTTTTTGTTGTATTCTTAGTAAGATACAATCTGTTTCTTATTAGTCATGTTATTAACGTTTACAGAGTAATCATTAAATTTCAACAACAACATTTGCATTAAATACTGCACACAGATGTTTAAGGTGATATGGGACTCATGTTACCTAAAAATACCTTTGATTCTAGAATTATATCGTACTAGTTACTTCCACGCGGTTTCACACGCTCTGCTCAGCTCCTACTGGTCGTAGCGTGATATTTTAGCCATAGTTATAGCCATCTTTGATAAATGCGCTATCCAACACAAAAAGAATTATTCAAATCAGACTTGTAGTTACGGAGATTAGTGCGTTCAAACAAACAAACAAAAACCGCCTTATATAATAGTATAAGATTTACTTTAGCGAAATTCAATAACAATGTGAATCACATTAGGGTTCCCATTGGCCTTTAGAAATAATATTGTAGTACCTTTTACTAATGACAATTACTTTCTTGTTTTCTAGGTGGACCGTACTCAGCTTTTGCTGGTAAAGATGCTACTAGAGGCTTGGCTACCGGTCAGGTAGCTGCCTCCGACAAGGAATACGATGACGTCAGTGACCTGACTCCTGATGAGGTAGCATCGGCAAAGGAGTGGGAGGAACAGTTCAGGGGTAAGCCTCCTCAAGTTTTAAAAGAAAATTATCATCACCAGGATTGATAAATTATTTTAAAGTCTTTTCACGTACTTGACTCGACTGAAGCGATACCTGAAATGTGTGACAACAGATTTCTAATTCCCTGGTGTTTCGAAAGTCTATGAGTGACGCTGATCACTTACCATCAGGTTATCTGTCAGCCCCTTTGCCCCCTAGTTAACGCATAAGTCAAGTTCCATAAATATAAAACACCTGAACCTGAAATCAGATTTGCGTCTAGCAAAAGACCTTTTTTCGCCTAACCTTCATGTCAAAAAGATTAGTATTAAAACACTACTGCAGATCTAAGTTAGAAAGCAACATCTACCCTTACAAAAATACTGACGAATTATTATAATTTTACAGAGAAGTACGACATTGTCGGCCGTCTCCTGAAGCCTGGTGAGACACCGAACAAATACAGCGATGATGAGTCGGAAGAGAAGAAATCACAGTAGACTAGACAAAATATTATACTTTAATAACTAAGTAATAAAAAAACTTGTTAAAACGTGATATTTTGCGGTGCCTAGGGAAATGTTTAAAATGTTAATAAAATATTTTTTATAACATACGACAGTTTTATTTCTATTATTGAACTAGGTTTACTTGAAACAATTTGACAAACTCAGCACATAGAAATGTTGGAGTATTTATTAATTCATGCTCATATTTTTGTTCATTCGTATATTTATTTGTTTAGTTTTTGTGTAGCTATTGTTTATTTAAAAAACGAAAGTGTTTTTCCAGTATTTATAAAATGTATAAACTTATTTATTTAGTTAAACATGATTTCATTACAAGTTCTCAGTCAGATTTGAAGACGTTTCTGTTTGATAGTCTAATTGTTTAGACAAAATCTGGATGATAATATAAGATTCTTTTTTGAGCGGGGAAAGTCATCTAATGACTTCTCGCCCGGGTGAGAGGAGAGGGAGTGTCAGACTCTTACTGACTAAAAACTACCCTGTTCCGTACTCCTGCACTTCGAGCCGAAGCCCCGACAACCCGTTAAGTTCTCTGCGGCTTCGTATCTGTATCAGCCCTATTGGGCTCCATCTGTGGTGGTCTGATGGCTCGCTCGTCTCGCGATCCCGACGCCAAGAGTGTCTCCCACAACGACTGGGACATGAGGAGGTTCGTTCCCTTACGTTCCGCACCATAGTTTGAATCAGAGCCGGACACGAGAGGTCGCTGTCGCCGATAATACTATGGTAGTTAGAAAAACATTTTTTAAATCAGCGATTAATAAAAAGTGAGATAAAGTAAAGGAACATGATTCAAACACTTGTCTTGATTATGATAGAGTTGGTGTAATTATTGTTACGAAAATATAAAGAAGTGCCTAGTACATTACCAGAACCCTATATCAAATATAACCATCCATAACATATACGTAAATAAGTGAAGGGTGTTAATGTAATATAAACCTTTACTTTTTCATTAGTTTATGAGATTATTGTCACCGAGCATCACTCCAAAATTAGACTTTTTGAATCGAAAAATACAAACTATTTGGTTGTCGTAGTGGCCGGGAAACCGGCTGCTGTGCAACGCGTCGTGGGTTCGATTCCTGCACAGAACAATAAATTCAATGTATAATCTAGAAATTGTTGTCTGTATTTATCCCAGTCTGGTAATAGGCAACATATTTATACAAAAAGATAATTATTAAAATCTACTTTAGTTTCAATTCATAGAGACTAATGGATTCCGATCTTGAAATCAAATAAATTTTATCTTAATAGATGAGTCATTAGAAAGACAGAATATAACAACTGGAAATATTCCATTCAACAATTTTAGTATTAGTAGACTGGATTACTAAATGAATCTCTTGCAAGTTCATTCATAAAGAAGTCATGAACCAGTTTCATTTCATTTTAATCATTTAATAGTTTAATAATACAAATACATATATCTGTTCTATCCTTAAGGTAATAATTTATTTATTTATTGATTTGGATTGCGACTGCACTCGTTGGCCGAGTGGTCGCAAGCGCGACTGCCGGGCAAGGGGTCTCGGGTTCGAATCCTGGGTCGAGCGAAGTATTACTAGGTTTTTACATAATTCTCAGTGGTAGCACGGAGTCTGGAATTGTGCCCGATATATGCCAATAGGCTCACCCCCTATTACATGGCACTCATAACATATAATAGTGAAAAGCGGGTGTTACATGTACAGTGGCATTAAGTGCCGTAATGTACATACATACATCTCTGTCTACCCCTTCGGGGATAAAAGGCGTGATGTTATGTTATTTGGAAAACCAAAAGTTATACGATTTGATTATATTATGCACTTAACAATGCGATTTGATAGAGTCTATAGTCTATCATAGACGTACTATAATAAGAAAATTATATTCGAGTACGTACTGAAAAATTCAACAATAATCTTCACATACATTCAAAAGCCTTTAAGTTTTATATCGAAGTGTGAACGAAATCGATTTATGGCTAAGGTCCTCTTCAAGAGTGTCCATTACACGGACACAATCCCATTAAAACGGAATGTGACATTAAAAACGTATCAGATTGTCCGTCAGTGGTCCCTCTGATGGGATTACCTCTATTTCCCGTGATAAAAAGGAAAATGTCATAATGATAAGATACCGGGAACGGAACACAGTTGTATTTTTTCACAATTACTTGGTGAAGGGAAAATTTGGTTTAGTATGTAATTAATATTTCCATTGAAGTCATCATCAACAGCCTATAAATGCCCATAGCTGAGCAAGGCCTCTTCCCACACGGAGAAGGTTGAGCATTAATCACCACGCTTGCTCAATGCGGGTTGGCGAATTCAGACTTATAATAAGAAATTATAAGTTCAGGTTTCCTCACGATGTTTTCCTTCACCGATTGTCAGTGGTGTCTAAATAATCATAGAAACTACATAATTATAACTCTGAAAAGGTCAGATTGGTACTTGTCGTTGGTATGTTTAGAACCTGTATAATGCATAAGAATAAGTCTTAAACCTCCGGGCCACCACGACGACGACGACTTTATTGAAGTAAGACCTTGAATTTGTGAACTTCGTTATTTAGGATCTATAATATAATTAAAAATGTAATTGTAGGCGTGGAGAATGTTACTGTGTCTTATGACTTGCTGTTGTCCACCATATCGAGGGATCTATTTACCTAATATATTTTTTAATAGTCTGTAATGAGTAAGTGTTTGCAAATAAACGCACCTGCCACAAACACAGAAAATAATCACAGTTTTTTTAAAAATAAAACATAGTGTATATGTTTGACTAGCTACTTCCGCGCGGTTTCACACGCTCTGCTCAGCTCCTATTGGTCGTAGCGTGATGTTTTATAACCTATAGCCATCCTCGATAAATGTTCTATCCAACACAAAAGGAATTATTCAAATCAGACTTGTAGTTACGGAGATTAGCGTGTTCAAACAAACAAACAAAAAAACAAACTCCTTCGCTTTATATAATAGTATAAGATTTAGCTGTTAGGATCATGCAGTTGACAGTGCGATCTATAACATTAATGATAAAAAATTTGTAACGCCTACTTATACATTGATAAACAACACGTAATATATGATTTCATCACCATCTGATTCCAATCTCGATGCAGTCTTCAGCTCACAATGTTTTCTCAATTTCGAAAATAGTTTCAGTTTACAAATGTATTTCAATTACCTAAACAATCCAATTCACTTCACAATCAATCTGAAAGTTTCCAGCTAAATCAATTACAGCCCTAGTACATTGATTTCTTACATTCCTATGAAATAAACTAACTATTGTTTTACTTTATTACATAGACGGCACGTTTGCGGTACAGTTTTAATTACTTGGCTATGGAAAAACATTTTAAATTGTAATACTAAAGTTTATGCACACTAGCTTCTGGCCGCGGCTTTGCCCGCGTTTCCATGGGATAAAAAGTAGCCTGAGGGTTATTCTGGACCAGAATCTACCTCTATAAGAAATCGGCTGAAAGGGAGTGGGAGGCGTCAAGTTCTATCCCTTCCCGCCGTAGACGCGCCGGCCGTCAACTCAGCGAGATGGTAGCTGATCTACGACCTCCATAGGAGAGACCTGCGGGCGACTGATTAGGGGAGTCAGTCGTCCGTTGTATGGGCAAGAGTAGGCGTTAGCGGTGTGTTCACGCATGCCACTCGAGAAAGGAAATCGCAGATTTTGAGGGCTACTACGTGGTGGGACCTGCCGCAATATAGTGGTAGGTCGAGGCCTGCCGGGTGCGGTGAATCCGCCAGGGTGTCCCTGGTTACGCCCACTGGCAGAGGAGGAACACCGCGGTGGTTTTAGCCTTTAAGAGTCCAGCAAACACCGCCATTGTCCCCACGGCGTGGGAAGTCAATGAGGATCTCCATCGCGTTATAAAAAAAGGACCAGAATCTATCATCCCTGTTCCAAATTTCATTCCGATGTTTTCGGCCATTTTAATGTGATTGACTAACAAACAAACACATAAACTAAGAAACGATTTACTTGACCTGCGATGCATTCATGGGAAGAGCTTAAATGAAGAAATATACATAGATGTAGTGAAAGATGACAGGATAGTGTCACCATTGTCTTTGCCTAATAAGAGACAGACGCAGTGATAGGTACATCCTGGCCGGGGATACGGACAATCTTGCGGGTTACCGACGCTCCTGTTCGTAGTAAGAATAGAAATGGATTGGCTTTTAGTCGGTAAAAGTCTGACAGTCGATATTCGAAAGGTATATACTATTTTATGTATGATAACTTGGATCGATAACTCGTAACACAAAATTATTCCAGTAACACAAACTATGAATCACAAACCAAATAAAAATAATATATGCCGATGAAAGTTTTTTGTAACTAAAATTGGGTAACATCGGACAAAAGTTTCTATCCACTAAGTTTTAATGGCTGGTCGAGCAAGCGGTTAGTTTTCGTAAAAGCTGTATTGTATGGTCCAAAGTATTTATGTATGAGCACATGGATTGCCAACCAGTGCTGGCTTCGAATCGCCGTTCCAAACTTTAATAGTTACGTAACAGATTTAAATTGGTCCTATGATTTAGTGATAGTTTATTTTTGTAGTCGTTTCTGGTGAATTATGATATAAAGTTTAAATTATGGTGATTACGTTTCTCATCCCGTACAACCGGCAACGCACTTGTGACTCGTCTGGTGTTGCGGGTGTCTATGGGCGGCCCTGATTGCTTATCATTAGGTGATCCGTCTGCTCATTTCCCTCCTATTTCATAAAAGACCCAACTATAAAAACAAATTATACCTTAATTTGTTTTGTGGAGCGATAACTTGGTGTGAATATCCGATACCAGTGTTTAATCAGTCAAATTAAATACACTAAATACATAACCAGGTTTACTGTGTCAAGCAAACCTAACTTCAATGTTTGTTTACCGATATTTACAGGTTATTGATATAAATATGGTCCTTATTTATACTAAGCTTCAATATTCAAATAATATAAAATACCTGAAAGAAGTTATTGAGACCTGATTAAGTGAGGGTGACCCATGCTTCAGCACGAATGGGCCGGCTCGATCGCAGTGATACCACGGCCTCACAGAAAACCGAC